TTTTACTGGGGAACTCAGCGTTGTGTTGCTCGAGGCTAGACACTGTTTTATGAACTTGGGATCATTGCTAATGTTCACACCGAGGTCTTTTTTTTCTGCTAACGAGTTTCTAAACCTTATTTCCGCATGTTAAGCATTGTTTCATGCAGCATCCATTGTTTAAGGTTATTAGCAACAAGCCAGCGAGAAAACATGAATGCTCTCCAAGATGTGTATATCTCTCAGCGTATGTATACAGAGATTACTTTAATCTCTTGACTGAGTGATGTAAGGATGATATGCAGCTTAATTGACATTTAAGGACGACGTCGCTTGTTAAAGTTTTACATTTCGGCAATATATGATACAATATAATGTTTGTATACTTAAGTGACCTTTATTATTAACCAACATAAATTCTCCACGATAATTTAACAGAGGCATTCTGCAAAACGACATTACATTTGTCACTTTTTTTAATGTAACTGAAGAAATTTAATAATATTATGGAGCAGGGTATTTTGTAGGTTAAAAGTGACAGCTCCCGCTCCTCCACCACGACCAAAACTGGCGCTTCTGTACCAACAACATCGTTCCTGATACCAGTACTACGTTCTCGGCCGCAAGAACTTTCGAAGTTAGACATGGCCAAAGAAGTATGGTGCAGAATAAGTAATACCAATTTCTGATACCAATTTCTGTAAAAGTTTATGATGCAGGTGTATTCAAACTTTCAAGAAAATAATGATATTTCACTTGTAAATATTATATATTTCATGGCAGGTCAGACGAGATATTGTAAGATAAATTAATATCAAGTCTGTATTGACGATGACTCATATCACGGTATGTGCTATCGGAAAATTGCTGATAATCTGGAATATTTTCTATACGCTGTATTGCTTTCTGCTAGAACCAATATCCTATTTGATCAGGCTATAATCCAGGATGGTTGGCATGGGAGCGGACAGCAAGGGTAATTAATGACACTGGAGCCGACAAAAAGTGGGTACAGTACTGACAGAGTCAATAACCCCAATAATGTATTCCAGGTTGAGAATACGAATAATTACTATAAAGTGATTCTGAGGCTGTTATCAGAAGAATTATAATTACTAGGATAAAGCATACTACTACATCATTGAGAATGTCTTTCCTTTAGTTTAATCAGATTCACTGCTCTGTCATCATAGATTATTAACATGATACACGTATAAACATTTCCCATTTTAGTGTATCATAACTGATCTTTCCATTTAAATATCATGAGTCGTCCCTCATGCCATTTTATAGAAAAAGTCTTCATTCCTCATTCAATTTTTTGACAGTACAAAAAGGAGAGTTTAATAACATTAACATGGAGCAACAAGATCTTAAAGTAAAGCTATGGATATATAAGGATATGTGTTCATGTACATTGTGTTAAGTAGGGTTAGGATGGTGATGTAAGAAATGCTGCGATCTGTAGAATGAGAATATAGTACTTGTTTAAGTTATTGTTTAATAGTAATGACTATGTATATTTTATTATATGGTATGTGAAGTTTGTTACTTAAAAATGGAAATTATATTTGAAGAATATTACTAAATATACGTGATTGTGTAAGTTCGCTTGTGGGATGATGTAGTGTTTGTTCGCTTGTGGGATGATGTAGTGTTTGTTCGCTTGTGGGATGATGTAGTGTTTGTTCGCTTGTGGGATGATGTAGTGTTTGTTCGCTTGTGGGATGATGTAGTGTTTGTTCGCTTGTGGGATGATGTAGTGTTTGTTCGCTTGTGGGATGAATGTAGTGTATAGGAGTCAGGTGGGACGAATCATTTGTTATATTATAATGTGTTTAGTTTTTCTGTGGTGAGGTGTGGAGATTGTTATTTTCTCACCTTTATTTGATTCGTAATTTTTGAGGTGTTCTGAATTTTTGGATTATTGAGGATGTCTTTGTACTTACAGTTTTATGTAAAATGTAAATACGTGTGACATTCTTTGGGTTATATTGCATATTGTGTTAAAAGCTTATGGCTGCACTTTTGGATATAATAAACCCACCTGTAATTGAAGATGTGGGCTGTCTTTAGTTTAGTTACAGGTATGAACGTGTGTTTTCTTATATATAAGTTTAGTGCTAAGGTAGGAATGTGGAGCTTTCTTGTTGTTATATATAATGGTTACGTTTCTTTGTTTACATTGCCTACATGTATAATTGTGTATTGTGTTTTTAAATAAAATATAAAAAAAAGTAAAGCTATGGTCTATGAGTAATTGCTTGATTATTTCTGTCGCGTACATCAGGTGAATGCTAGTCCTGACATGTACTTTGAGTGTTACTGCTGTCAGTACACACACACACACACACACACACACACACACACACACACACACACACACATATATATATATATATTATATATATATATATATATATATATATATATATATATATTATTGTAACCACGAACGAGTGGTATTGATCAATAACAACACTGCGCTAGCCAAGGATTCGAACCCATGTTGTACTGGCCTGCCTCATGGTAAGCAAGAACCACATGATGCTTTAAACCACAGGACCACCCAACCCTAAAATCTTTGATTTTCGATTTGAACTAAAGGAAAAAATACATTGACAGGATATGATTTAGAAAATATATTATATTACATATCTGTTTCCATTCTCCTTGAGAATACAATTTTCTTTTCAGATAATCGAGGATAAGAAGTTTATTGTATATTTAACTTTTTTTATTAAATACATTCTCTTATGTTTTCGTGAAAAACACTTTTGACTTAAGAGTCGCAAAAACTGGGAAAAATATTTCATAATCATTGAATGACATACATGAAATACATAGAAAAGATTTCCTTTTATTTGCCATAGGCTCCTCCGCCACCTCCACGGCCTCCTCCATGTCTTCCGAAGCTGAAACCTCCTCCTGATGACCCCACTGTAGCCACTCCGCCGCGACCACCTCCGAAGCCACCTCCAGAGCTTCCTCCATAGCCGCCACCGCCCCCACCTCCGCGACCTCCTCCGAAGCCACCTCCAGAGCGGCCTGCATAGCTGCCGCTCCCACCACCAAAGTTGCCTCCTCCGAAGGCGCCTCCACCACCTCCCTTACCTCCAAAAATAAAACGCCCCCTGACGAGCCACCTCCATGGCCTCTAACCACCACCTCCAGGATAAAGCGGAGCCTCCTCCACTCCCTCCGTACCCTCCACCACCGCCGCCGCCTCCACTACTTCCACCTACAAAAAAGGTGACGGCTCTCGTTCCTCCGCCACCCCCAAAGCCGCCTCCTCCATACCTGCCTCCTCCATACCTGCCTCCTCCTCCTCCTCCTCCTCCTCCTCCTCCAAAGCCACCTCCACCACTGCCGCCTCCACCACCACCAAAGCCACCTCCTCCGTAGCTACCACCTCCACCACCTCCGCTTCCACCACCGCCACCTCCACTGAAGCCAGGATCTGCAAAACTGGACACGACCAGGCAAACAACACCCAGGGCGAGGATCATCATTTTCTGAAAATAATCAATAATATAAATATATTTTTTCTCAAAAAAAAGTTCCTGATTTACTACACCTCAAGAAAGCAAAATAAACATTCACCCTAAAACTATACTATTTTACGGTAACTCAGAAGTAGGAAAACTGGATAAGTCAAACATCTTGTGTATGTGGGAAAAATATGTTTAAAAGTTTATCATGAGTACATCTATGACAAGATCATGGATGTCGTACTCAGGGTTATATATAACAATTCCTAATTCTAATTCTGAGGGTTTTATCGGTAGAAACTGTAATATGGGACTATTCTATTAACAATGAATACATCTTTTCACTTGTTTGTGTCCTCTGTGGATTGTTCGTTTGAAACTTGTACGAAGATTCTCTTGTCATATTTTCTAATTTGCCTCTATTTTTTTTTAATTTCTCTTGTCATATTTCATCTATCTCTCTTATGTTTCATCCTCCTTTCTTATTTTCATATTCCCCTCTTACGTTTGTTACTCTACAATCTTGAATCATTTTCCCGTCTCGTATTTAATTTACCTCTCTTACATTTAATTTTCCTCTCTCATTTCATTGTTCTTACTTAACTTCAGTTCTCAGTTTAAGTCAAATATCTTCATAAAACTTTTCAGTCATTAAAATTTAGCCATAAATCAACCAAGTTCCTCTGAAAATGAAGGATCTGTCAAGACGTAATCACTTTACACTTTTCGTATGCATCAGTTCATGGTTACTGATTGTTCACTCATGACAGCAGTAACACTCTACATCTGTAGAGTGTTACTGCTAACATCAGCAGTTCTGATTTTACACCAGAGTTACAGTGAATGTTTCAATGAGAATGTAGGAATATCTTACCATTTTGGTATATTCAGTGGAGAAGACAAGCTAGGAGTATAATGATGAGACGTCTGATGTGCGGCTTATATACC